GGAAGAAATGAAATGCCGAAAAGAAGGAAATCAGGAACAGAAAGAAAGAGGTAGGTGCGTGGGTGGGTGAGCAGGTGAGAAGCAGAAGCCCCGTGTACGGCCGAGTCCAAAGGCGCCGAGCTAATACACCAGCTCGCGCACTGTGTACTCGTCTACTCGTCACGAGCAGACAACACACACGAGTATCCATCGCGCATCGAGGAACACCCATGAATTTCCCTCTCCCCGTCCCCGTTCGTTCTCTGCCACACCCCCACCCAAATCCGCGAACTCCCCACAAAGGCAACTACCCCAACTGGGTAGCGTTTGGCATCGCGCGGATTTTTTTTAGGCTCCCGGGGACCACATAGGACGGCGTTCACCCGCGTTCGTTGGCTTTAGCCACACATCCATCCCCGTCGCCCAGTGGCGTTGCACCTGGACGGCTTCGCGCAGAAAATAACTCGGGCGAGGAGATAAGCGTATGGATGAGCACGGGCTTGGGCTTAGGCAGCAGCCAGCCAATCGCAGCCCCTGGGTCAACACCAGAGAGCCGACACGAGCCGGAAGATGCGCGATGCGATGGCAAAGACTGCGAAATGACCGTGGGCCCCCACCCGCCTCCCCTCCGGGTAAAGAACCTATTGGCCCAGCCCCGAATCGAGGACGGACATATCGCGGACACAGAATCCAAATATTAATCCGAATCCGAATCCGAGTAGAGCACGGACCCGGATGAGTTGGTCATCACAAGGACGCTCGCAGTCGGAATCGGATTCGGATGGGATGGGTGGCAGATAGCCGCCTCGCCTCGCCTTGACATGCAAAGATGCAAGGACCCGAGGGCGAGGACCCGACTCCCACCGCGCGCCACAAAAGGCTGCTGTTCGTCCGCGGTCTCGCCTCGTCCGACCGAACGAACAGACGAACGAAGTGGAAATGGTGGAAATGAAGGAAGAGGAAGTGAAGGAAGCAACGACACGTCGAACAAGCTGTGACCCCATATCCCACCCATAGAGTCGAGGGGATCCGCGCTATCCCATGTCCCATGTATGTGGCGAGATACGATAGACGCGATGGACCGACCATACACGCGATGCATGGATAGCTGGATGGATGGATGCGATGCGATGATACCAGGATCCAGGATCCACCCAGATCGGACGCGACGCGCCATCGATCCCATAATCCCACCCTCGATACGACCAAGCGAAGCAGGAGCACGAAAGAAGAGACGCGGACCGGCGTCCCGAGAAAGAAAGCAGGAAAGAAAGAAAGCAGAAAGGAAGAACGAAGGAAGGACAAGGAAATAAACAAAGCACGCTGACGCCCACACGCGCCTCCAGGTGTGGTGCGCACACGTACGCGCCCGACGAGTAGAATGAAAGCGAGGACAAAGGTCGCGACGCCCACATGCGCCTACAAGTACAGCGCCTGCATCCGCACCGCTGACGCATCGAACAACCGCCGACTCGCCCCTCGAAAAAAACGAAACGAAAGAAACGCGAAAAACAAAGAAAAATCGAAACCCAAGCAAGTAAAAATCACACACCTCCTGGCCCATAGCATCCCCAATCCTCCCCGTACCCCTCCTCGGCGTAGGCGTCCTCGGACTCTCCCTCTCCCTCTCCCTCTCCATCCCTCCTCTTGCGCCCGCCCCAGTTGCCCGAGGGGTAGGCGTCGTCACCGTCCGCTCCAGGGCGGGCATCGACTCCTCCTCCTCTTGCCCCTGCTGCTGCTCTTGTTGTTGCGACTGGTGCTCGCGTTGTTGCTGCACTTGCGAGGAACGGTGCGAGCTCAACGAACTCCGCGGACTCTCCATCACCGCCTGCCCACTTTGTCTCCGTGCGCCCCCAAACACACTACTCGCCCTCCTCGACCCTGGGGCGGACGCAGACCCCGCAGCCCCCGCATGCCCCGCCAACACCCTCTCCAGCCTCGCTCTCAGCGCCTCGTGTTCCGGGTCCGCGTCTCTTGCTCGGGTGGAAGAACGGGAAGGTGAAGACGAGCGGCCCTCGAGCCGTGATAGGGTCTTTGCTATGGGCGAGAGCGAGGACGAGTCTTGTTGGTGCTGCTGGTGCTGCTGGTGCTGGTGCGAGGCGAAAGCGGAGGACATGGAGGAACCGCCCTCGGCGTCCCCGCCGTACACCTGCTGTGGCGCTTGTCGGTGTCCAGTCACACTCGCCGCCCTACGCTGTTGTTGTAGAGGCGAACTGGAACCAGAGACAGACCCCCTCCGTAGGGCATCGCGCAAAAGCTGTTCCGACCTTGACCCCGCTGCACCCGCTGCGGATGAGGGGCGCTGCAGCTCTTGCTGGGGGTGGGGGTGAAACGGGGAGACGGATAGAGATAGTGAGTAGCCGTGGCCGCGGCGGGGTTGGGGGGCCTGTGCGAAGGGAGAAAGGTGTTGTTAGCGAGGGTTTGGGGACAACGACAGATAAAGTGAAGGAAAGAATATATAATAAAGTAAAATGCGACACGAGAGAGAAGGGTGCTGGGCCGCGAGACAAACTCGTCACTCGCCAACGCGCACACACCCGCCAGCCGAACGTTGTCGTACCCCCGCCAACTGGTGAGAAACGACACCGAGCGACACGACACACGACAGCGACACGAGGTCTCAACAAGTGACGTCGATGCCGCCGTCGCGGGTGCGCAAGCGGTCGCGGTGAATAAGCGCTGTCTCGGACACGAGCGGACATAGCGGCGTCGACCCTGCCTGGGCCCACCCAGCGGCCGACGTACGCTGGCTGGCGGGTACGGCACGGCGCCATGCAGTATCGCCACTAGAGCGCGCAACGTCCGACGCCCCAGCACGAAAAAAAAACGAAAGCACAGCCCAGCATCACTCAGGCTCACGCGCAGTCGTATACATGAGCAAAAGGAATAGGGTAGCGCGAATAACGCGCAGGAAGCGTCATCGAGCGGCGGGCGGATCTCGCAGCGCGCCTTCAGCACACGGAGACGGTGTGGTGGCGTCGCAAGAGTCACCCCCCCAAAAAAAAGAGCACCTCTGATGGCGTACACGGAGACGAGTGGCAAAAGCAGCAGCGGGGACGGCGACGAGCGCATACACGGCCATAGCGCCGTACATAGCGCCAAGCCGCAACACCGGCTCTCATCCCCGGGTGCCACGACGGACTCCCGCCCCGTCGGACGAAACCCCGTAAGTGGCCAATGGCCGCGCACCGCCTCCAGCGGGCGCGCTAAGGCGGGTAACACCGCGCGCTAAGGTGGGTGGCGCCCGCGTCCCCAAGAAAACAGACCCCGCCCCGTCGACGAAAAACCCTAAGCAGTACGCCGCCCACGCTAACGAGCGGCGTCGCGCTCGAGCTGACCAGGCAGACACCGTCGAGCGGAGTCGTCGCCCCAAACACCGCGTGGCGTCGCCGCCACACGCGGCCAGACACCGTCAGTCGAGCGCGCGCGTCATCGAGCCCCTCCACGTCCCAAGAAAAGTCGACCGCAAGGCAAGTAAAGAAGAACAACTCACCACCACATGCCCATTCCCCCCCTGCCCTCCACTCGTATTCCCTCCACTCATAGGCGTGCTCGCCACCCTCGGCGAGCTAGGCGCGCTCCCCGGGAACCGCGCCTGCGCCAATGCGTGCCCGAGCCCCACGAGGAGCGCGGGGAGGCGTCTGCTCGGGGTGCTGCTTGGTGTCGTATTTGGCGTCGTTGTGGTAGTCTTGTGGGGCGTCGTCTCCATAGCTGCTGTATTCGTCGTAGGTGTAGGGGTGGCGGTGGTGGTAGGAATACTGGGCGAAGAGGACGGGGCGTCGCCGCCATCGTCGCTCCTCAAACTCGAACGACTGGGTATGGGCGAGAGCAGCCCGAGGCTCTGCGTATGTCGGTGTTGGTGCCGGCGTCTTTGCGTCCGTCCAGCTGAAGGAGCACACGAGCAAAATAAGTAAGTGAGACAGGGGAGGAAAACGGGGGGGAGGGACGTACGGGAAGCAGATGCGTGCGTCGTATTCGTATCGACCGCGTCCATTGCTACTGCTAAGTGCGTGCTGCTTTGCGTATTACGAGCGGATGGAGTACGGTCCAGTCGGCGAGGGCGAGGGGCGAGCGTGTACTACACGAGGTTGGTTGGTTGGTTGGTGCGATGTACTCCAGTCCAAGGTAAAGTTCCGTTTGGTGGTGGCGGGGAAGTAATAGACGGGGACGGGGGTGAGACTTTTTTCCGGGTCGTCACCAATTGGCAATACACAAATACACCGCGAATTCCCGGGGCCGTGTTGCGGGCGCGATGGGGATGTAAGAATGGCGAGTTGTCGCAAAACAAATTTGGGGGTGCGTGTGACTGTCACTTACGAGACAGGGTTACCATCAGCTAATAGTAATACCGCGACCCGTTGGTTCGGGTTGGGCGCGAGGCGGTGGGGCGCGACCAAGGCGCGCGACGGGGGCGCGTTGCGCAATTTACATATTGAATTCGAATTGGATTCGCGCGGTGCGGGTTGCGACGTCGCGATTCGTCGCGATGCAGAGCTAAGATGGGATGGGATGTCGGTATTTTGGGGAAGGTACGCGAGTGACGCGTCGATGATCTCACTCACTCAATTCGGGTGGGCGCATCAATCAATCAATCAATGACAAGATCCTGCCGATGCCGACTCCGCTTTGACTCGGCTTCAGCCTTCTTCTCGAACATCCGAGTAATTCAACAACAACCTCAAGCTCAACCACAAAGCTCACCTTGTGCTGTAAAATGTAATGCAATGCAAATCAGCTCAGGAAGGCCCGGTGTTTAATTTCCCGCCCAGGCACCTTCATCTCCAACCTTGAACCTTTCTTCCTTCTGTTGAAGATTCTGTTCAAAAGCTGCAAACCAAAACCCAAAATCCAAGGCCACTAAAGGACTTTGATGACTTACACCCAAACTCCCCACAAGGGAGTGAGTGATTCACTCTTGAATAGCAACCAATTCAACCCCGGTATGTCCAACTCAGAAAAAAAATCATTTAACATAGAAACAAACATCCCACTTGCCCAACACCAAAAGACCTCACAATCATGGCCTGATAGTGCAATGGTAACACATCCCACCTTGCTAGGATGTATGCTGCAAAGATCATTTCATGGGAAGACCCTTGTTCGACTCAAGGTCAGGCCATACACACTCAGCAATAGCTTTTTTTGTTTTGATTCCCAAACAACGACGCATTGCATTGTATTGCCATCTTCGACCTCATGATAAGCAACTGCATTCATCTCTGTAGTGTATGCAGTATTTTTCGAAAGAAGATTGCAGGAGGTTTATACAACTTTCAGGCTCTAGAAAAATTCAACCCAACCCACATCATCCTAGTCGGGTGGAGACTGGAGCAGGGCAAGAGAAGGGGAATCCATAGCCTGATGGTGTAGCGGTAACACATCCCACCCCTCTATGGTCATCCAGCAATGGTTTCACGGGAAGACCCTTGTTCGACTCAAGGTCAGGCCATGGAGCATTCTGCCGTAATACATTTTTCTTTATTCTAATTTCTACCTTTTGTTGTTACGGTGACCTTGGCCTCTGAGATGAGCAAAGGGATTGTGCATCCAACCCTGTGTGTTGAATAAAATTCAACTCTGCAACTGTCCTTTGGGATGCAGCAAACGAAGGAAGTTCAGGATATATAGACGGCCTGATGGTGTAATGGTAACACATCCTACATTCTTCATGAGGAGCATTGCAACATTTCATGGGAAGACCCTTGTTCGATTCAAGGTCAGGCCATACATGGCAAATACATGGACACTGTCCAATCTTTTTCTTTCCCAGTTTTTTAATATCCAAAAAAAGAACAGAATAGCCTTAAACCATTGTTGAAAATTGATAGGGGAAGTGAAGGTAGTCTGCACAACCGGACACAGACTCTGTTGCTAATACTGCCCAGTCTGCCCTTGGTTCTGGACTTGGAATTGGTTGAATAAAAGAAAAAAGCAAGAATCAGTGTCCCTCAGGAACTAGTGTTGCCGGGGTTCGGTTAGGTTCGGTTTTTTCCGAAATCTCCCGAACCTCGAACCTAACCGCCACCGAACCTCAGGTTCGGTTCGTACAGGTTCGGTTCAGGTTCAGGAAGGGTTCGAACCTGAATGAACCTGAAAGAAATCCACAGGCACTTGATGGTTGCAGGAATGTTTCAAAAGATGCTACTCCCCTGTACACTGATTATATGGCCTATAGAACACACTCAAGTGAGGTATTACTGACCTCAAGTGGATATTTTCCACGCCGGTCAGCATCACAACTTACCTCCAGCCAACCTCAGCAATGTTGAAGTCGTCCGCAAAGGTCCCTGGGCATGATCGTCCTCAACTATTTCAACATGACTATTGTAGACCAGGTCCGGGGTGAGGGTGGGTGAGTTTTGCAGCAGAAAATCTCTCAAAATACCTCTAAAACTGTCTCCATTTGCCCCCCAAGGCTTCAGGTTCGAACCGGTTCGCACCGGTGCGCACAGGTTCAGCAAAAACCCAGAATCTCCGAACCTCGAACCTGACTTGAGGTTCGGTTCGGGTTCGGTTCGGGTTTGGCGGAGGTTCAGAACCTAACCGCGGCAACACTATCAGGAACTCACAGGAATCAAGCTCTTAAGTGATACCTGCCCTAAACCTCTGGTGCCCTGACACGAGGCATGCCTAATTGAATTCAGTATATTACCTCACAGGCTTGATGCCAACTTCACAGGCACCTCCGTGAGTAGCAGTTCTCTAGCTGTATAATTGGCCTAGGAATCGGGCTCGAAATTATAGTGGTCAAAGCAGTCCTCAATTCTTGATTCTCCAAACACAATCGGGTCAAGAATCGGAGTCATCCAACAGCTTTGAGTTCCCCTAATACCAATATGTATTCAGCTGTGAACAGTGAGAGTACTTATATTCAAACCAATTTAGATTCCAGCATGGAGAAGTTCAGGATACATGCAAGCTGGGCCTGATGGTGTAGTGGTAACACATCCCTGCTCAATAATTGGCCAGCCATGAGCATACAGGGAAGACTCTTGTTCGACTCAAGGGCAGGGGCAGGCCATAGACTTTGTCGAAGCACTTTTTTATCCTGAGGGTGGTCGGCTTTGGATATGGTTCCGGATGGATCAAGAGATTTTTGTTGGCTTCCCCCTCTACCGGTCTCAACATGGTTGAAAGTCGTTAACACACAGTTACACCACAACATGCTGGGTCATTCGGTCTTGACTGGTAGAATTTGATGTGCTCTCCTGGGTTGCACTGAAGTAAAGTTGGAATGGGTTACTCGGAACTGGAGTTGAACATTCTCATGAATCAAGTAACAGTAACAGTTTGGTGATGTTCCGGGCCTGGCTTGGCCTGAATACCCGGGCCTGGGCCTCAGTTTTCGCAAGCCCGAGCCCAAGCCCACAACACGCCGGGCCTGAGCTCGCGTTTGGCATAAGTGCGACGAAAGACCACCATTCCGGTTCAAAAACAGATCAAGAGCGACGGTTAACTGTTGAGCTTGCCATATTGACTTGCGCCTGCACAGATTGACTTGTGTTGACTTGTGCAGGGATTTTGGTGCACAAGTCAATTTGTTACTACTACCTGCACAAGTCAATATGCTGATGTGCAAGTCAGTTTGCGCTTCGCCAACCCCCTAATAGGTCTGTCTCATGATTTATCACACTGTCCACTGCATTTTTCTCACCCAGCAACACAACTTGATAGTAGTACTGGTCCAGCTAATCCCAACGTTTCTGGGAAGACTATACCCCTGAGCAGCAAGTTCAAATGATACCGCTCATGGTTGAACTCATAGTGTAGTTGTCGAGACCACATGCCAGTACCTTTCTAACTCTCAATTCTCACCCAGCCCACATTTGTCTCTCTTTTAAGTACCTGTGCTCCTCCTCCACCAACCACTCCCAACTCTGAAATATAAGTATATGTTCAAGTTGCGACATGTGATAGCAAATAGGTGGTTCATATCCCATCCCATCCGTGCCAGAACCAGCATGCCAGTGTCATTGTTGCCAATGGTCAGTGGGAAAATGAGTACTAGCACAGGACAGTTGTGATCGAGAGCAGGAGGGAATCGAGCCTAACCTTACGGCAACGTAGAAACCCAGAGGAGCACACAAGTGATTGTTTTTGTGTATAAGCCAGTTTGCTATGAGGAGTCTGTGCAACCATTGCTTGGTATCTTCCTCTCCGGCACAAATTCTGGTTGGCCACTTCACTGTGAACAGTCAGGATCACAACAGCAATCACAATACCTTGATAAAATCAAACAACACCGGACCACTGAAACTCTTGCCGAGACCAGCAACTACGCGCTGCAAGTGGGTATAGAGGTATAGAGGCCTTCAGGATGGCCTAGAAGTTGCTGAAAGTTGGTCAGAAGGTTGAGCTTAAGCGAGCGCAAACACAAGTCAGCGCCCTCACAAGTCACACAAGTCAATATAATATATCTCATCAAAAGCAACATGCAGGTGTCGGGACATGGTTTATGTTGAGCCTGGCCTGGCTTGGGCTTCATCGGGCCTAGCCTGGTGGGCTTCGGGCTTGAGGCCGGGCCCTGAGCATCACTGATGGAGTCCGTGATGCTGGGAACTGGGAAAGATGTGAATGAGTTCATCCCGCTGTTCCGCAGATGTGATGAAAATGGAAGATGTCAAACACTGCCCCAGAAATGTTATAAGAGATCCAGGTGTAGTGTGATAACATCTTTCTGAAATGCCCCGACAACATACCACTGCCAAAGTGCGTGCTGACAATGTCACGGCATATTTGACACCTGCTTTGACTCTACTGGATGAGCTCAATAATGCTTTTGGCCTACGATATGTGCAGCCTATCATCAAGACCACACAGGCTCTTATCACAGGGGTGCAGGTATGGGTTGCAGCATATATATTTTCTTGTGACTGTGACTGACAACAAAGTATTGAATGTCAGACGAAACAAGGATGAATGTTTTCAGATGGTTGAAAGCATCCACCAAATCCTCTATTCAATCATCCAGCTGCATTTGAAATTTGAGGATCTTGGGACTCGTCCTCTGGTGGTTATTGAGGCCATCGGAGAATTCACAACGTACATAAACTGTTATCTCTGGAAGTGTCTTGATACTGATTCCCTATAGAACCCTGCACAAGATATACATGTTTATTGAGATACAGCAGGATGGGAACAAGATCAAACAGTTCTTTCGCCAATCTGAGGCCAACAAATTGCTCAAAGAGTGCCAGGCCGGACTGGACCAGGCCATTGGAATGTTCAATGTAAGCTTTGACTTCAATGTTTTCGAGCAGTAATGTGAACAACCCCACAGGCCCAGACAAGAGCCACAGTCTTCAGTGATGTTAAGCAAGTCCAGACTGAAGCGGACAATATGCATAAAGAACTGCTTGAGCTCATCTCGGCACTGTCTGATACTGATGGCACAATGTCAGACCGGTCCTTATTGGTAGGAGGGTTCATATATGTAGTGACAGGAGAATATAATCCAGACCTAGGTACTTTACGGGATATCCAATGGCTCTCAAAAGAGGTCAGCCAAGTCCGGTGTGATTATTTGTGTATGGTTCTGAACCCGCATACATAAAGCTCAACCTCATTTTCATTACTACCTTCAAACCCAAAGATATTCCATGGCCGTGAATCAGAATTGCAGCAGATTGTTGAGGCTCTAGCCCAGGGAGCACCAAGGATAGCCATTCTTGGAGGTGGGGGGATGGGGAAGACATCACTTGCAAGAGCCACCCTTCATCACAGTGACACCTGCAGCAAATTCCGGGGGCGATTCTTTGTCAGTGCAGAGGCAGCTACAACAGCCATTGAGCTAGCTGCACTAATTTGTCTACACCTGGACATGGAATCAGGACCAGACCCAATCAGACCTGTTGTTCGGTATTTTGCCCAACAAACAAGCCCCTGCCTCTTGGTTCTGGACAATTTGGAGACACTATGGGAGCCTCTGGAGTCCCGTAGTGCAGTGGAAGAGTTTATCTCACTTCTTGCTGATGTGACCCATCTTGCCCTGATTGTGGGACCTTCTCCTTGTCATATCGAACAGTGTATTGACCACCAGACAGATCACCATGCGGGGTGCTGAGAGACCAGGCAAGGTCCAATGGACTCGTCCATTTTTGCAGCCCTTGGAACCCTTGCCAGATGCTGCTGCTTTGCAAATCTTTGAGGATATCACTGATAATCCTCAGCTCAGTGATGAGAAAACCCAACTTTTGCAGTTTACTGGGAACATACCTCTGGCACTGGATCTCATGGCCCATCTTGTGGAATATGAGGGCCTTACCAATGTGCTTGCCCGGTGGGAGACAGAAAGGACCAGTTTGTTATCTATTGGTTATGATCGGAGCTCAAACATGGATGCATCTATTGCATTATCCCTGTCCAGCCCACGCATTACCCCTCAGTCTCGGGAGTTGCTCAGTCTCCTCTCAATTTTGCCTGATGGGCTCTCTGATGTCGAACTGGTTGAAAGCCCCCTCCCAATCAAGGACATTCTGTCTTGCAAATCTGTCCTCATTGCCACCTCCTTGGCATATAAAGACAACAAAGGCCGACTTCGGTCACTGGCACTGATCAGAGAACATGTTCAACATTTCTCCCCACCGACAGAGGCTCTTGTACAATCACTTCGGAACTTGTTTCATGACCTCTTGGCCCTATGTCAGAAGTATAATGACTCGCGCCTAAGCGGTGTTCTTGCTCAGATCACCGCCAACCTTGCCAATATTGACCAGGTTCTGTACTGGGGATTGCGACCTAAGTCCTTGGATCTTGCTGAAACCATTCAGTCCACAATCTCTCTGAATTTCTTCTACCGAATAACCCGAGATGGAAGTACACACCTACTGAACAAGATTCCTATCCATCTCTGTGGTCCTCGACAGAGAGTACTCCACATCATTGAATGTCTGCTTGGTCTCCCCGGTAGAACTCAGACTCAGAAATTGCTCGCAGAAGGGACATCTCAATTTCAACACTTCCAGGATCCCCTGCTTGAAGGTAAACCACTACAATATGCACATGATTATGATGCTAATTTTGTCACAGGCAGACTGCTTTTTGCCGCAGCAAGATCCTGTAAAGGTTCAGGATTATCTCAAGAACTTCAATTGTGTAAAAAAGCACTTGCACTATTCAGGTCAACTGGAGATGATGGCATACAGTCTTATTGCCTGAGTGACATTGCATGGTTTGAGTGGAGGCGTGGGGATTATACAGCTGCTCTGGCCTTGGGAAAACAGGCCAAGCAATGTGCCTATCAGGCAACCCATTTCTTGGCAGCTTCAAATGCACTAGATGTATGTACTGCATCTTTAACTTCCCTTGGTGACTACCCCCAGGCTATGATGGAGATACACAAGGGCATAGAGTTACTGATTCTCTGTGGCATGGCCAGCAGTGAACTCCATTATGGCTTGTTAAACTCTCAGGCAGAGATCCATCTGTGCAAGTCTGAGTATCCAGAAGCCAGAAAAATTCATGCTGTAAACCTGCAGGATTCTGGCCTCGACCCAAGCTCTGACCGCTATGTAATCACTCTTCTCAACATGGCACAGATTGATTTAATCATTGGGACAAGAAAGGAGCTTGTTTGTAAAACCCTGCAAACAGCCTACAAGACATGTATCAGCACACATTACCTTCGAGGACAAACTTGGTGTGACCTATTTTCAGCATGCCTGGACTTGAGAGAAGGAAATCCAGCCTCAGCAAGAGCCATGTTCCAGGATTCTCTCAAATCAAATCTTGGACACGACAGTGGTGTCATAATCTACTGCCTAGAACAACTTGCTAATGTTACCCAATGGCCGACTAAGTTCCTCTATGAGCATAGCAGATGGTCTGTGCTATACCTATGTCAGGCACACAAAACCAAGGACAGGCTTGGACTTTCAAAAGCACTGCTCTTTTTTGCAGATCTTTTCATGGATGATGATGAGGTCACAACACGGAGCCTGCTCACCGTTGCACTAGAGGCATTCACATTCATGGATGTTCACTGCAGTCGAGGACAGTGTATGATGCGACTCGGTGA